AATTCTGCCAGCTGCCAGCAGTTTGGCTGTTCAAGTCTCACGGGCTCAAGGCCTTCTGAGACCAGTAAAATGAGGACACAAATTGTTGTTGGCAATAGGGTGACTCTGTAACCTGCTTAGAGAGGGGTTGGAAAGCACTGTGAAGTGGTATATAAATGCTATTACTATTGCTAAATACGAGTCAGTTGCCAAGCATTTGAATTTTGATCACATGACCATCAGTCACTTTTCTCAGTGCAATTGTAACTTTGAACAGTCACTAAATGAACTGAGGACTACCTGTAGATATGTTAGTTTGCTCTATCAAATTCCCCCTACTTATTTCAATAGGACATAGAAAATCAAAGAGCTGTAGGTTATTCATGTGGCTTTTCCACGTTAGTCATAGATTTTTTTTCTTGATTTAGTGAAAAGCAGCTGTAAACTCACCCTCCTCCACACAGCAACAATAGCTTTTAATGGCATCATTTCAGATTGCAAGAAGCAGACAGGCTTTTCAACTGATTGAGAAAGCAGGCAAATTCATGCACTGATGCTTATCGGTCAAATAAAACAAATTCCTTATGTTCCTTATGTTCCTTCCATTCCTTCCTTCCTTCCTTCCTTCCATTACTTACTTACTTCTTACTTACTTACTTATCTTTTTTGCTTGTTGTTGACAATGCCACAAAACTCCTGGGTGATTAAATAACAGAAGATACCAGACCTTGAAACTTAAGGTCATCTGTACTATGGAAATTGTATTTTCAATTTCAATAATCCTAAAGTTGTGTCTATAAGCGTTTTGCTTAGTGATAGAGAGAAAAGATGGCTTCAATCACACTTTGCCAGCAGAGAGGATAGGAAAGTTATCCTGTGCAAGTGTAGAAACTGGAAAAGTGGACAACAATTAAACAATGTTGTCTATTGGGACTCTGGAAGTGCACCTTCTCTGTAGCAGTACTTACTTGAATACTTCTCTGATTTGTACATACTGCAATCCAAACCACGTGCAAAAATAACTTCTCAGAATGGCAGATGATGCAATACATAATATGTTGAAGCACAGAAGAAACAACCACAGGTTTTCTATAAGACTATAGTCCACACAACCACAGATCTGGATAGTTTTCACTCTTCTATATAGAAGAGCCAGGAAGACTTGGCTCTTCACCTAGGACTTTGGCCAGAGAGACTGAGACCTCCTTTGTCACACCTGCCATCTTTTATTTTTACCTTTTATTATAATTTCTTTGTTTGGGGCCATCCAGAGCCATTGAGAGTCGGGTAAGCATACAAATTTAATAAAATATTACCAGTACTCCTCTTTTCTGAAGCAAACCAGAATTGCTCTTCAAATACATGCTTCTTTTAAGTCTCAGCACAGTACCTGCCATGGTGTCTTAAGTTATGCATTCATGAATGCTTTTAAGTTATTCTCTTTTTAGTGAACATATTCTTAGACCTCAGCTAAGAAAAGTTGCACATTTTATTGGACAAAAATATGCAAGTTTAGAAGTCCACCCTTGTGATTTAAGTTGCATTTTTACTGATGCCCGGTTCCCATGACCTGCCATGTGTCTCTTCTCCAGGCCCCAAAATACATTCCAGAATAGACTGCCTGCTAAAGTTCCCTTAAATGGATCCAGACTTAAAAGGCACTCACTATTTTGCATCAGTAATTAGGAATTAAACTTTGAAATTGCATGCATCAGCCTGCCTTTTAGAGCAAGCATCATGACAAACAGAAGCAGCAAACGTTTTATCCATGTATCACTGAGTCCGTAACTGACACATGGGTGGTTTATAAATAAATATTTACAAAGAAGCCAATCTATGGCTTCAAGAGGTCTCAGTTTTAACAAAAACATTTTAATTCAGACTTTGGTTGTTTTTAAGAAAGCAACTAAGCTATGGTACCCAATGTATCTTACTGCATTGGATACAGGTAGTCCTCGATTTACAACAGTTCATTTAATGACTGTTCAAAGTTACAATGCTACTGATGACTGTTTTCACACTTAGGACTGTTGCATCATCCATCATGGTCACATGATTAAAATTCAGATGCTTGGCAACAGACTTGTACTTTTGACGGTTGCAGTGTCCAGGGTCGTGATCCTCTTTTGTGACCTTCTGACAAGCAAAGTCAATAGGGAAACCAATTTCACTTAACCCTGTTACTAATTTACCAATGGCAGTGATTCACTTAACAACCATGGCAAGAAAAGTCATAAAACGGTGCAAAACTCACTTAACAAATGTTTCACTTGGCTACAGAAATTTTGGGCTGAGTTGTGATCGTAAGTTGAGGACTACCTGTATTGATGTCTTGGAAGAGTTCCTACTTGTGCACTCCTAAATACACCTCAGGCAGAAAGTATATCTTGTTCCCAGTCTGCCTGCCACCAAAAATGTTGCAATGTTACATTTATCTACTCTTACGTTCTCAGCCCTCTTTTACACAACACATCTGGTCCATATGCAGTTAAAAAGTACAGATAGGCATGCTTGTATTCTGAAAAAAAGCAAGCCTATTCTGCAGAGTTTGTAGCTCAAGAGGTTTGTGTCAGGTTTCCTATGCCAAAGCCTGGGACAAAAAAAACTTTCCGTGCAATGCTTGTTTTTACAGCACATTCACAACTTATAGCACACTTTATGGAAAAGTGGTTTTTCTGTTGGATTAAAAAAAAATGGCCCTTACTGACCCATGATTCATTGCTAGTCTCCTGTAAAGGTTTCTAGGATTCAGCCACTATTCCCGATTACCTTCAAAGGATAGTATTTTCTTCCCTGGCCAATGTTTGTGCTGTTAAGGCACTCAAGGGAGCCACTGAGAATCTAAGTATTAATTAATCTGAACTTGGAAAGGCACCAAGTTGGAGATAAACATTATTCTCTGAGCCAGGATCCTCATATCCCTAAGCATGTTTCAGACGGGATATTACTTCCCTAGCCATTTTGATCATTTTCCCAGGAAAGTCTGTTCCTAGCTGGAAAATCCCTGCTGCATGCTTGATCCATGTCCATCCTGTTTCCCTTTAGGCAAATAAGATATATTCCACTCCTTTATGTTTTGTTGTGGCCTCTGAACTCATTTATGCATTGTCTTTCTACAGAAATGGAGAGATTTCATGAGAAAGCAGGCCTAGGACCCGTCTTAAAGAAATATGCCACCCCCGTAAGGACCCTAATTTCACTGTGTGTGTGTTTGTGCGTGCGTGCGTGAAGAATGCCAGCCTTTTCCATTAAGAATAGGAGAAGTCTGAAGCCAGTCTCAGATTTAGCCCCATTCTGGTGTTCCCTCTTGGGGTGAATTCCTCTTACTCTTACCCACACAGGATTCAAGGGTTTATTGATAAAATGAAAACTCTGAATAAGTGGAGAAAAGCTGGCAAGACTGAGTCCAGCCCGACTGCTGGTCCTAAATAGCCTTCTGCCTGTCTTGGAAAGACTTTAAGTTTAAGGTGACTAGAAAGGAGTTAAAACAGTGTTTCTCAACCTTGGAAGCTTGAAGATGGGTGGACTTCAACTCCCAGATTCTGGGAGTTGAAGTCCACCCATCTTCAAGCTTCCAAGGTTGAGAAACACTGAGTTAAAACATTGGGCACCATTTCACGGTAAACCCTGGATTGCTCACTTCTCAGAAGAACAATAGCCCTACCTTTGGTCCTAGCCTGCAGGATTGAACCCATGCCCAAAAACATTATTGTATAAGACCGTTTACCCTCCTCCAGCGGTTTCTCCATGTTCAGTGGCACTCCAGCCCACTTTCTTGCTCCCCCTCTTCCAAGGTTTGCAACCCTTTCCTTCTCTCCCCCTCCCCGCTCCCCTTCTTTCCAGGACAGAGGCACCCCTTTTGCCACCTACTTTTGGTACGCCACTCTCTTTTCCTGCTCCCTTCCCTGCATGCTCAGAGGCACTCTTAACACCTCTGCAGGTTCTTTGCATGCTCAAAGGCACTCCTAACACCATCTCGCCTCCCCACTGCGCGCTCGGAGGCAGCCTTAACGCCACCTCTCCTCCTCCCTCCTGGGACTTTCCCTCCTGCCCAGAGGGGCTCTTGACACCGCTTCTTCTCCCTCCCGGGCCTCTAAACCTCCTCTCCCGCTCTGGGCACTCTTTGCATGCTCAGAGGCACTCTTAACACCTCTGCAGGTTCTTTGCATGCTCAAAGGCACTCCTAACACCATCTCGCCTCCCTCCTGGGACTTTCTCTGCCTGCCCAGAGGGGCTCTTTACACCGCTTCTTCTCCGTCCTGGGCTCTAAACCTCCTCCTCCCGCTCTGGGCACTCTTTGCATGCTCAGAGGCACTCTTAACACCTCTGCAGGTTCTTTGCATACTCAAAGGCACTCCTAACACCATCTCTCCTCCCTCCTCCCTCCTGGGACTTTCTCTGCCTGCCCAGAGGGGCTCTTGACACCGCTTCTTCTCCTCCCTCCCGGGCTCTTAGCCTCCTCTCCCTCTCTGGGCACTCTTTGCATGCTCAGAGGCACTCTTAACACCTCTGCAGGTTCTTTGCACGCTCAGAGGCACTCCTAACACCATCTCGCCTCCCTCCTGGGACTTTCTCTGCCTGCCCAGAGGGGCTCTTGACACCGCTTCTTCTCCCTCCCGGGCCTCTAAACCTCCTCTCCCGCTCTGGGCACTCTTTGCATGCTCAGAGGCACTCTTAACACCTCTGCAGGTTCTTTGCACACTCAAAGGCACTCCTAACACCATCTCTCCTCCCTCCTCCCTCCTGGGACTTTCTCTGCCTGCCCAGAGGGCTCTTGACACCGCTTCTTCTCCCTCCCGTGGCTCTTAGCCTCCTCTCCCGCTCTGGGCACTCTTTGCATGCTCAGAGGCACTCCTAACACCATCTCGCCTCCCTCCTGGGACTTTCTCTGCCTGCCCAGGGGCTCTTGACACCGCTTCTTCTCCCTCCCGTGGCTCTTAGCCTCCTCTCCCTCTCTGGGCACTCTTTGCATGCTCAGAGGCACTCTTAACACCTCTCCTCCCTCCAGCGGCTCCGCTCACCGCCAGGCGTGGTTCCGAAGAGGGTGCCGCCAGGCGTGGTGCCGTAGTCTCCCGGAGGCAAAGCGACTCCCTCGGCCAAGTCGAGCAGCTTGTTAGGGCCGGGGATAGCCCTGCCCAGCGTGGGCTCCGGAGCGGGGTGCGGGCGACAACAGGCGGCGGACATGGCCGGGAAGAGACGCCGCTCGCAGCCGCGATCGCCTTGCGAGCCACAACCGCCTCCTCCAGCGCTGCAGAGCGCCGCCGCCCCGCCCCCTGCTTTGGCCCGCGCAAAGCCCCTCGGGAGGTGTAGTCTTCCAACCCGCCCCGGCCACGCCTCTCGCTGCCGACCAGCTGGAGCTGCAGAAAAGGAGACTTTTTTTTTTTTTTTTTTTAAATTTGATTTCTATGCCGCCCTTCTCCGAAGACTCAGGGCGGCTTACAATGCGCTAAGCAATAGCCTTCATACTTTTGTATATTTTATACAAAGTCAGCTTTTCTTTCTTTCTTTCTTTCTTTCTTTCTTTCTTTCTTTCTTTCTTTCTTTCTTTCTTTCTTTCTTTCTTTCTTCTTTCTTTCTTCCTTCCTTCCTTCCTTCCTTCTCTTTCTTTTTCTTTTCTTCTTTTTTTAAATTTGATTTCTATGCCGCCCTTCTCCGAAGACTCAGGGCGGCTTACAATGCGCTAAGCAATAGCCTTCATTCTTTTGTATATTTTATACAAAGTCAGCTTTTCTTTCTTTCTTTCTTTTTTTCTTTCTTTCTTTCTTCTTCTTTCTTTTTCTTCTTTCTTCTTCTTTCTTCCTTCCTTCCTTCCTTCCTTCTCTTTCTTTTTCTTTTCTTCTTTTTTTTAATTTGATTTCTATGCCGCCCTTCTCCGAAGACTCAGGGCGGCTTACAATGCGCTAAGCAATAGCCTTCATACTTTTGTATATTTTATACAAAGTCAGCTTTTCTTTCTTTCTTTCTTTCTTTCTTTCTTTCTTTCTTTCTTTCTTTCTTTCTTTCTTTCTTTCTTTCTTTCTTCTTCCTTCCTTCCTTCCTTCCTTCCTTCTCTTTTCTTTTTCTTTTCTTCTTTTTTTAAATTTGATTTCTATGCCGCCCTTCTCCGAAGACTCAGGGCGGCTTACAATGCGCTAAGCAATAGCCTTCATACTTTTGTATATTTTATACAAAGTCAGCTTTTCTTTCTTTCTTTCTTTCTTTCTTTCTCTTTCTTTCTTTCTTTTCTTTCTTTCTTTCTTCCTTCCTTCCTTCCTTCCTTCCTTCCTTCCTTCTCTTTCTTTTTCTTTTCTTCTTTTTTTAAATTTGATTTATATGCCGCCCTTCTCCGGAGACTCAGGGCGGCTTACAATGCACTAAGCAATAGCCTTCATTCTTTTGTATATTTTATACAAAGTCAGCTTATTGCCCCTACAAACTGGGTCCTCAATTTACCTACCTTAGAAAGGATGGAAGGCTGAGTCAACCTTGAGCCTTGGTGAGATTCGAACCAGCAGTAAATTGCAGGCAGCTGGTCTTAATAAGCTTAATAACAGGGTGCCTTAAACCCCTGTAGTACCAAGGGTTTGCGTTAGTTTTAGTTTTATTTGATTTGTATACCGCCCTACTCCCGAAGGACTCAGGGCGGTGAACAGCCACAGGATTAAAAACACATAAATGCAGAATTTAAAACTGGATAAAATCGAATTAAACAATTTGGCCAAGGACAGATTTAAAACACCCCAATAAATTACGAACGCATTAAAATTTGCATTTTAAAAAGGGGGGGGGGGAAGGGAGAGAATTAGGCCAGGCCACCCTGATGGAATTGTTGTGGATTTAATAAGACAAACACAACTTTTGGATTAATCCGAGACAATTTATATATTGCGCGATAGGTTCAAGGCTCTGTACATGAAGCGTTGAACAAAGACAGAAATTAGGTACAATGGTTTTATACCCTTCTAGACAAAGGATTCTGTTAACTCAGCAATTCACATTTGTCATTTTTAATTGACATTTCCTAATTACTGAGTTTCTTTGCAAAACAGTTATAATTCTTTTTGTAGATTACTGAAGCATAGACTCAAATCATCTTCTGACGATAGACAACTTTTAACTCATGTGGATCCCCTTGACCTAACCAACCTTTAAGCTGTATGTCATTAGAATGTTCCTTTCTTCTGACAACTTAGAGGCCTCCTAGAGGAACCAAAAGGATTTTGGCTGAGTTTGTACTTTTTCCAACCGGATGCATTGCTTTTTAGAATAGAGTGAATAGAAAGTTATCCAGTGGTCATCTATCAGAGCCCGCTTCATTTACATTAGAATAAAAATGTCTTGAGAGCGCGGCGGAAGGTGCGTAGATCCGGGATCCTCCGTATCTCCGGGGGGAGCTCATTCCAGATAGTAGGTGCCCCCACAGAGGCACCTACTAGAGTCCTGCATTGCGGGACGCCAGCGCCTCCCCCGCCTCCCTGGATGTTTAACGGGCCCCTCTCGCTGAATAAGGCTCCCCCTTTTCTTTAAGATGGTAAACCGCAGTCAGAGTTCGGCCCTGAACGAGCAAAGCCACCCCGTGGCTGGTACAAAGCCAGGCGCGGAGTTTCTGCAAGCTTGCAAATCCTTGATAAAAGGGGTTTGACTTCTGCTAGAACCGTTTGACTTGGCGCAAGGTGGGAAGCCCGAAAACAGGATAAAAAAAAGAGGCCACTAATTAAAGAGCGCATGTGCCATTTGGATCTCGCCTCAAGAAGGAACAAAACCCAGAAGCCATGGAGGATTGTTCTAAAACCATCTTGAAATTTGAATAAAACCAACTTCAGCTGAGGTTGGCTCTTTATTCAGGGAGTTGGTTGTGCTTCTACAATAAGTAACTTCCCGCAGGGCCCAGTGTGATCATTTGACTTCTTTAGCACATTTGTGTGAACTCAGCCTTTGTGGTCTATGGAGGGAAGTGGGGTTGAAGAAACCAGGATAGAGGCCAGCCTCTGTAATCCAGAACAGTTCAGTCAGGAGGAAATTCATGCCTGCTCTCAGACAAAACAGGCAGAACGTGTGTGTGTGTGTGTGTGTGTGTGTGTGTGTGTGTGTGTGTGTGAGAGAGAGAGAGAGAGAGAGAGAGAGAGAGAGAGAGAGAGAGAGAGAGAGAGAGAGAGAGAGAGAGAGAGAGACTTGAAAGCATGCTGATGCGTATTTTTAGCCTTACAAAGTTAGGTGGCAACACTTAGCTGATCTGGAAAAGCTAAACAGGGTGAACTTCGGAATGGATTGGATGGGGGACACAAGGAGATTCTAAGGCTGTGGATAAGATTAGGAAATGAGGAAAAAAACAGGAAGGAAATTATAAACTGGTTATCAAGAAAAGTGCCCAACCTGTTGTCAACAAAACTTATGGACCTAGAATTCTGGGAGTTGAAGTCCGTAAGTCTTAAAGTTGCTAAGGTTGGACAACCTGATTTGCATTATACCTATCCTAGGGGGAGGCGGAGGTCACCTTGTTTGAATAGCAGGTGCATCACTCTTGGTTTTGGGAGGTGATGGGTGAAACCAGAGAGCCTTGCTCCGTTTAATTCCCAGGGTAACTGTCAAAGTGGCTTTCAGCCGGTCCTCACACTTACAACCATTGCAGCATTCCACAGTTACGTGATTAAAATTCAGCTTGGCAACCAGCATGTATTTAGAACACTTGAAGTGTCTCAAGGTCCCAGGATCCCCATTTGCAACCTTCTCAGCTGGCTTCTGACAAGCAGAGCCAATGGGAGAAGCAGAATTTGCTCAACAATTGTATAATTCACTTAAATGCAATTCCATGGCAAAAAAAGCTCCTAAAGTTGGGTGTGATTCATTTAATAACCACTTTGCTTATCAATGGAAATTCTGATGTCAATTGTAGCCATAAGTCGAGGACAACCTGATGGGCTTGAGCTTCTGGAGGGAAGGCAGGGCATATGGTTAACCAGTCAATGCTCTTCTATATAAATCCTAATTTCTCATAATTTTTCATCTCCCTTGAAAGAAACTGAAGAAGCAAAGTACTTTTTTTTTTTTTTGTAAACTCACAGGTTTTCTCCGTTGTTTTCACTTAAGTCATGGGGGCTACACTTGATTTGTCACTTGTCTGTTGATGCTGTTCTCTTAATCCTTTTAATTTTATATAATCATAATAGACTTTATTGTTCTCGCCTGCAAAAGTTAATGTACCATTTATTTCCTGTCCTGCGGCTTTGTTCCTTTAATCCCTTTCTGGGACACACACACAAGGGCTTCTTTGAGGCATAAATCGAATGATCGTGGTTGTTATGATCATGTTCATTTTTAGATGATACGGATTGGACAGCCGGACATGTGGCCAGAGATTGTCCTGTCAATGCTGTTGTTGCATACTTGGATTTTCAGAAAATGCCTCATTGAATATTTGGAGAAAATTAGCTCCCATGGAATAGGGGGATATTGGTAGTTGGTGAAAAGGAGGAAGCAAACAGTAGGAATCAATCAGCAAGGTTTTTTTTAATGGTGTAAGAAGAGGAACTTCTCAAGGGCTTTAGAGCTTGTTCATGAACAACCTTAACTTATTTACAAGTAATCCTCAACTTATAACAGTTCATTTAATGACTATTCAGAGTTACAACTTATGACCTTTTTTCACCCTTATGACCATTGCAACATCCCCATGGTCATGTGATCAAAATTCAAATGCTTGGTAATTGATTCCATATTTAAGATAGTTGCAGTGTCCCAGGGTCATGTGATCACCTTTTGCGACCTTCGTACAAGTAAAATCAAGAGGGAAGCAATACTCACTTAACAATCATGTTGCTAACTTAACAACTGCAGTGATTCGCTTAACTGTGGAAAGAAAAGTCATAAAATGGGGCAAAACTCACTTAACAAATATTTCACTTAGCCTCAGAACTTCTGGGCTCAATTGTGGTCATAAGTCAACGACTACCTATATTTACTTCTGAGTTGCTCAAAATAAAATAAAATAAAAATGCCCACTGAGAAAGGGGGGAAGGGAGAGAGAAGAAAATTTGTCTAAAAATCCAAATAAGTATTGTCAATCAATAATCAAAAATGCAATGCCAAAGTCACATGCTTGCAAGCTGCATTGTCAGTCATAACATATCAGCGAGATGATGAAGTAACTTCTCTCCTTTGCTCTTTTTTTTTAAAAAAAATTATCAGCTGTTCTGTTCTATGTTATCGGATCCTGCAATTAACTGTAGGAACTGTACAGCCAAACCATTCCTGGCTGAGAATGTTATTTACACTCCTTTGTATAAGAAAAGA